CGGAATAACCCATGACCCGCGACCCGGTTCGGTCAGGCCCGTTTTCTTTCCCGGATTATTTTAAATACATTTTTCCCGCAATATTTCAAACAACCCTTTTCCATCAGCCATGGCTGTTTCTGAAAAGTTGCAAACCTTTTCAGAAACAATGCCAGCAACTCTATAAATAGAGTTTGAATCCCAGAATCTTTCCTTACGAAATTTTCTGAGCTTCTTCTTCTTCTGCAACAAAAATTCCAGTGTGTTTTACAACCTTCGAATAGCTCGTTGTTCACCGGCGTTTTGGTACCAACACTCTGGTGCGTTAAATCGTTCTATCCTGGGAGGATATATTCCAGCACCTCGGGTACTTGAGGGAAATAATTTCCTTAAGGACACACTGTGTATTCAGTGGGCTCGATTTATTCCTATACTGCTTTTCCAGAATTTATTTCGTTAAACAAGTATTACTAACTTTCTGTTTTGTTTTTCCAGAAAGTTTAATTGTTTATTACAGCAATACAGAATTATAACAAAATATAGTTGCAGTATCATGCTACTGGATAGATATCGAACCAAGCTCGAAAAATTATTTCTCTGACTACAAGCTCAATAACAAAAAATCGTTTCTCCGATTACGAAATAAAATTATAGAGCTTCTACGGATTTGATAAGGTTACCAATCAGAGTTCCTCAACTGATGACATCGTATACTGAATTGAAATTCGGATTGAATAGACTACCAGGGAAAAAGTATCAGATTTAAACGACCAGATTAAGATGACTTACGTTCCTGCAATCTCTTGATAAGTACTGGTGATAATAAAATCTGAATTATTCATTGCCAGTAGATCAGCAGTAAACTGACATGAAAAATGATATTTCTCCTCGAACTTTTTCCAGTAGATGTCAGAATCAGGATACTTTGTTTTTTCCAAGGCATGAGCAATGGTACACTGGAAAAACAATTAAAAAGAAATGAAGGCAAAGCATAAAATTTCTATTGCAGATATATCACCTCAAGACTTTGTGCTAGCAAGATAAAGAATCATGTCTTTCCTACCTGTGTGACACCCATTTTATATGCCAAAAGGGAGGCAACTAAATTTCCATCACTGTAGTTGCCAATAATTAGATCTGGCTTTCCCTGGAGCTCAGCAGTCATTTCACTTGCCACATCCTGGTCAAGAAGACATTTACAAACATTAAATTGGCAAAGTGTTGGTAGTAGAGAGGTCGGGAGAAATGATGAAACGGCAAGTATCTCTTCTTCCAATATATATAAGCAGAAAAACATAAGAATTGCTTTATCCAGAATGACAAACCAACAACTATAAATCAGGACGAAAAAGTATATCAGCATGTCGGCAAACACAATAGTTGGCTACAAGTTCTCCCAATTTGCATAGTTGGCCAAATTACTTTCAACCTAAACAACTTGAGCATAGGAATAAGGTACATGAATGACTGATGTTTCCACTAGTCATAAACTTTTAATATCATTTTTCTTGGAGGCAGCTTTCAAACTAGCACAAATCCTTTCTTGTCCCGTTGCTATTGCAAGCACTTGCAAGGGACTAGTTAACATCACTCAATTAAGCATACTGGCAGAAGCATCAGCAACAAAAGGCGATTTCCAAAATGGCGATTTCCAAGGGACAAAGAGGTTACCTCGGTGAACTTCTCCAGGTAAGGCCATACATCAAACCTAGATATCCATTTATGAAGGATTCCCTTCTCTGTCCTAAAAGGGACACGTAAAATATGCGAGTATTCAGTTCCACTAATCCTCTCCAACCTCTGGTTGCACGTGGTTCCTTTAGCGTCAGGTATCAGCCGTGTGACCTTTAGTAATCAGAGTAAGCAAATTGATGTCAACTGCAATGCCACAAACCAAATAAGAGCTTGCATAATATATATGTACTCACAACGAGGATTCTAGGCTTGAAGTTAAGTCCTTGTTGCTTTATTCTAAGAAGCATTTCGGCCTCCAAGGCACGCACTTGATCCAGTATGTAGACAACCTGCAAAGCAACCAAAAGGAGAATAACATCAAGGAAAACCACGGATACTTCAGTAACATTAACAGTGATTAGCATTGCCAAAAATTAATGTAACTGTGTTTTCTAACACAGCTCTAGCTTCCGGCAACTATGTGAGCTATGTTAATTGTAACACAACAGCAGAATGCCTGACCAAGCCTACTGCAAGAACGGACAGAGTACTGGTCCCTTGTTACCCTTACGTCTCAAGTTAAACTGGAACATCTAGAGATGATTCAGCAGTATAATTTCCAGGAAGAGGGAAAAACCCAAAGGTAATGTTTGGAATTTCTAAAGAACCACAAGTTTTACAAGTCTTCATTTCTTTCCGTACCCAGTCAAATAGGTTCACATAGATTGGAACGGAGGGAGTACATAATACAAGACCTCATTCTCCTTGTTATTACCTGGCCACCAGTGTCGGGCAAACCCAAGACATTTGCTTGGCCAAAATATCCATGAGGGGATAATATGACGACATTGAACACCATAGGTAGTCTACCAAGAAATGTCTCCAAGGTTGATGGATCCGGAGCCTGAAGAATGTCAGAAAGCAGATGCATCGTCTCCAAAACACGTCTGGCAGTATCACCCCAACCTCTCTCAAAGCCCATTTCTTGCAATCTGCATGCACATTGTTCCATAACAATGTTTCAACTCCTATAGATTTCCCTTTTCTTGAGCAATTACATGCGCTTGAAAGAAAACAAAACAAATGTGTACAAACTCACGCGTATTCAAACTCATTATAGGATGTATCTAGTGATAGCTTGGAGAGATAATCCTCTGCTTTAGAAAGAGCAGACTCCAGCCTGGAGATTCGCTGTATACGATCATTCAACATCAAGACCTGCATAGATAAACAATCCATCTTACAAATAGAAGTAGTAATACTTCTTAAACATTTTCAAGTGAGACAATATTATTCCGAAAGGTCAGCTATTACAACTATGTATCCATTAAGTGGTTGTGAGAAAGTTCAGGGTACCCTTCAACCAAAATATCATCTGTTATGTAAACTAAACTATTATCCATCAAAAGGGAAAGATAAAAGGTAAAGCAGATAGTTTGTTGATGATGAAATTCGAACTAGAAGTATTTTACATTTCTTATAATGGTTGCGCTTGTTGAAAGATTTTGGTAGACAATAGGGACAAACATTTTACAAAGGAAAAACTGATTTTGGTACTTACATTTCCTTTATGACTGTGTCCTCTAAGGAAATCAAGTAAGGGGTCCAGAGAGTCTTTGCTGCGGAACATAATTGAGGACAGATGACGATTGAGGAATTGGACTCCATTGCCAATGGATGACGAGCGTGTTGGACGAGGAACTGATGCATTAAATGGCTCAAAATCCAGCTCAAGCACAAAGTGATTATTACCCCTGGCATACATTAAAAACCAACAAATTTGTTAATTATTCAACTTTTGTAATTTTTTATGTTTCGTATTGAGATAAGAAAGAACTTACTCTCCATCCACAAGTTCTTCCTTGAAATGAAGATATTCAGGAACAGTCAATTGTTCAACACTCAAATCATATACATTAACACGAACATACTCCCAAACACCTGGCCTTGGACGAACTGCTATGGCAACAAATGGTGGCAGCACAATGGCTTCCTATATTGACAACAGAGCGCAAGCATTAATAGAATCCAAAGTACTTGTTAGCAAAATGAACAAGAAATTCAGTCAGAGACAAGTAAATCTCAGATTCCTATCTTTCAGGAGTAAAACAACTGCGTAACCCGTTAAAGATTGAAACATCAAAAGCTGCTCTGATATAATCAACTTATTCAAACATTAAAACGAGTTCTAGCTCATTAAGCAGTATTAGCCATATGAAAGAAGTGGATGCATGGAGAGTGGAGACAGAAGCGGAAACAGCCTGGTTTATTGGGATCCATTTAGCCCAATATTCTTGACACAAAGCTTAAACTTAGATGTGAACATTTACAAAAATTTCAACAAATATTAGATTTTTGAACCCATAATTTCAAAAGTGAAATGGATTCAACGGTAAGAATTTAAAGGTTGAAACCATCAAGTTCGCCTCTGCGGGTATGATCAGAAGATCCAGAAAGTGGGACCAAAATAACAGTCTATATGCACGTTGATTACTTAAAGAGAAAACGAACACCATGTTTTACATCTTATATCTTCATTTCAGACAGGTTCTTAAGATGCTCCGTTCATACATTGTAAATCCGGTTTCATTGATAAACAAAGGAATTTAAGAGCATGTCCAGTTTAAAATAAAAATAAAAAAACAGTCTGGATAAGGCGACAAACAGAGAAAAGTTGCATTTCATCATCGTCAAATTTCTGAAGGACATCAAAATAAACATATCCAGTATCATCTTTATTGCCCTGGATTAGTTAATATACCTGAGTAGCTTTCAAGACTTCACTAAAGGGACCATCTTTGAGCTTCTCACAAGCAGTGTCATCACATACAGCGTTGTTGAATTCATCGATCAAGTGGTGAGGTTGCAATATCCCCTTCCCCTGCGCCACGTATCTAAAAAATATACAGACATATATCAATCACTAAAACTGGAAAAACAAAAAGAAAAGCTGCTGGAACTTTCTCTAATATATTATTATTATTATTATTATTATTGAACTACATAAATCACCAAATCAATCGATCAACTAAAACTAGTTGGGGTCAAGCTTTACCAACTTATTTTTGCCAAGCTAACATGGTAGGAATTGAACTCAGACAACAACAACAACAAACAAAGAAAAAAAAACTGAATTGCGACAAGTGGGGTTTATGGTGGGTAACGTGTACACAAATCTTACGAGAAAATCATTCAAAATAAACCAAAATTAAGCTATATATTTTTGGCCATCCACATGTTGATGTTGACACATAATATAATTAAGTACATATTAAAATTTAAAAGTGTTTCTCAAATTTACCACAACAGAAATCATGCACTGAAAGCAAGATATCAAGAAGAAAACAGTTAAATTTATCAGTTAATCTATCAGTAAAGACAAAAAAATTAAAGAAAATAACAAGTATATATGTAGAGTTTAATTATACCTAGAGAGGAGAGCAACTAGCTGATTACGGTGAGCAGAGAGAGTATCCTCAACTCTCTCCCTCATGCTAGGTACTCTTGTGAACTTTGGATTCACCATTTCTTTTCTGGAACAAATTAATTATTAGAAATTTAAAGATGATGATATTGATATATGAGAAATGGGTACAATTATAGAAGAAAGAAAAGCTCATAGAGAAAAAGGTGGCGGTTTACTGCGTATTCTGGTTTTCAAGAATAAGCGAGTCAGAAGCCTATATTACATGGGACCCATACAGCCCATGGTAATGTTATACTCGTGTAAGAACATGATTGTTTGTTCGCAGGTTTGCTTAGGACAAATGTTTGAATCAAATTCGAGACTCCTCCTTAATCCTTATCCAACAGAAAACTAATCTACGTTTCTTCCATTATTGTTCCAGACCAGATGTAATATGTCGGCTTAGCAATTAGTTTAGCACACCCATGATAACTTAAATAAAAAAATTTTGTACTTCCAACTTATCTAAACAGTATTAATACTGTTTATTTTCACAATAGAATAATGTACAAATCCTATAACGTCATTGTATTGTAAGTTCAGTTTTATTTTCTTGCGCTCGTTATTGTAACGAGTAATGAATGCCTGATATATATTCTTTATAAAAATTATTATTTATTATTAAATGATTTGCTAAGATATTATTATATTATGTGAATTTGTACTTATTATTATGCAAATCATTTCTTAAGAGTTTAATTTGATTTATATATTCTACACTAGATGATGATAAAAAAATATATAATTTGGATAGTTTAGTGAAGTTGGATTTTGAAAATTGCAATTGTCTTATGCGAATTGATATAATTACAACAATATAAGTACTAGTAATAAATTCAAAGTAATTGGTTTAAAATGTTGAATCCCACCCTTGCCATTTGACTTCCAGTTGTTTCACTACCCTTCTCTACTGTCCAACTAATATCTTTGCTTTTTCGTGGTTTGAATCAATTCATTGCTCGGATGATGCTGTCGTGCTCACAGCTCACATGCTAGCAAGCGATTGCTCCTTTGAAATGTGACATGTGTCCATTAGCAAAACTTTAGGGAAATGGGTAAATAATACTCACAACAACAACAACCAGAGGCCGTTTCCAATAGACCATCGGCATCCTTCCCTCCAAGAACTTCCCACCTTACTCTTGGGGTGAATCGAACTCACAGCCTCTTGGTTGGAAGTGGGTAAATAATCCTGTATATGTTAATGTTGTGCTAAGCACTGCCAAATGTCGATATCCAATAAAGTAGGGGTCAAATTAGACGCGTAGCAGCCATTCATGGTTTATCCTTATTTCTTTTCCCTTTTTAATTTTGGATTAATTTGTGCATTACGTATAGCCGCTTCTTGATTAATTTACTCAATTACTCGCTATTCAGTTAATTCCGTCCAGAGAAAAGCTCTAAATTTAACGCTCTATTATAAAAAATATCTCAATTTTATTATCCGTTATACTTCTGGATCATTCGTATCTTAACATTAGTAAATCCTCATTTATTTATTCTTGACCTCAATGCAGTTCCAGAATATACTAGCTGGATTTGATATGTCAAAATGTTTTCGAAGAAGGTTCAAATTTTCCCCTCTAGCGACTTTTAGCTAACGTTTGGTCATAGATTTTCAAATTTATTCTAAAAAATCTGATTTGGGTGAAGTTTGGTTTGAAGATGAAAATGTGTTTGGACATCAGTTTTCAAAACATAATTCCCAAATTTATTTTGGAAAAACATGAAATATGACTTATACCCACAAGTTCTAAAAACTATCACAAATACTCAATAGTACCATTATCAATAACATTCATTATATTATCGCAAACCATAATCCTGAACATAAATAAATTTGATACAAAATTATCATTTTTATAATGAATTACATGATACACTATCAGGTGACCGAGAAGAATAAGCAACATTGTTACAAAATAATAAATGGTGGGCTCTTTTATAAAATACAAAAGTTTGGGGCAATTTTTAAAAAATATAATAGTGATATTTTGGCCCAAAATCAGCTATTGAGCTAATAGTTTGCGGGTATTTTTGCCGATTTTTGAGTTAATCATGACCACGATTTTTGTCGTCTATAACTTCTCCACTACTCATCAATTATACTCTTTACTTTCACTATTTTCATCAATTATACTCTTTACTTTCACTATTTTCACAACTCTTTCCTCTTCTCTGAATTATCTTAAAACTTTTGTTACCCCCCAATTTTTTGTACGTGAAAGTACATCGTAAGTCAATTGATGTAAGCTTGAAAATGAGATCCTCTTTGAAAGTATATAAAGTGATTTAATGATGTTACGTCCCATTTTCGCAAGCCTTTAAGAGTTATCATTTGGGGACAAATGTTTCTAAGGGGACATGTTGTTACACCCTGTACTTCAGACGTCACTGTCATTATAGGATTATCTAAAAACAACAACAACAACCCAGTAAAATCCCACTAATGGGGTCTGGGGAGGGTAGTGTGTACGCA